AAAAAAAAAAAAAAAAAAAAAAAGAATGAGCAGTTTCTACAGTATTTTTCTCATGGAATTTAGGTAGTTTTCCCTTATTTTACTCATTGAATTGGCATATGAAAACGTGCATTTTCTTAAAGGTCTCTTTTTCCCAAGTCCAGTCCAGCTGTGATCATTTAAAACATGGCATACAAACTGCCTTGATTTTTATAATCTGCCGCTTTAAAAAAACAGTAAAAATAAGTATAATATTATCTTCAGTTTCCGCCCATTTGGGAGCTTACTATGGTGAAAAATACAATGAAAGCAATCTGAGAAAGCCAGTAGAGTATTTACTATTTATATTTTGTCTGAGAGACTAACACAAGCAGCCACTGTTCTGTCTTATCAATAAAGGATACTGCAGTATGTTATTTGAAATTAAATCCAAATTCTTTCTCTGTTTAGCTCAGGTAGGAGAGTTTAAGCATCACTTATCACCTGCATTTGTTTATTCTTGGTGGGAGCATGTGCAGTCACAACTGGACACTTCTGGAACCCCGATAGAGAAAGACAATCTTTCCAAAAGTGAAGCAGCCCCTTGAAGTATAGTATAGAAACCCTGAATAAGACTAAAATGCAGGACTCAAGCTTAGCTCTTTGGGCTAAGCTCTGGAAACATCTCTGCACTTAATCTTTAACCATAACACTTGTCTTTAACTGAAACTGAGGCAGAATACATATTTAACTGTACCTTACACTGTCCACATTCCAAATGATAGGTTTTCCTCTGAAAAAGAAGGTCCCAAAGAAAATTGGGTCTTCCTCTCCCAATTTCTGACAGAAGTAGTAGAGATCTTTAGTCATTTCTTTGTACTAGTTTTTGGGAATCTGTAAAAATCTCCAGCAAACTAAATGGATACATGTTAATCCTAGGTCCAGTAAAAATCCTAAACAGATTATTAAAGCTGGTGAACTGACAAATTGGTGGTGTTAATCCTTAGTTTACCAAAGAAACAGAATTTGTCTATTTTGTGAACAAAATTAAGTCAAGTAGGCATTCTTCTATAGTGAGTGCTACTCATACTCTAAAAGATCAGATGTTCTATGATTAAGTTCCAGCAGTTATGAGCAAAGAGAGGCCTCCCTAAAATAATAGAGACTATCATAAGCAACTACTGTTCTGCCTTATCAATAAAGTGTACTGCAATACATTATTTGAAATTAAATCCCAATACGCTCCCTGTTTAGCTCAGGTATAGCTACCAGAAGAGCTAAGCATCACTTATAATTTTTTTTTTTGGTAGATTTTGGCCAGGGCTGGGTTTGAACCCGCCACCTCCGGCATACGGGGCCGGTGCCCTACTCCTTTGAGCCACAGGTGCTGCCACCCCACTTATAATTTTTACAAATGATAGATGTTAGTTTACCTAGAACCTTTAGATATTTAAAAAATACAGAGTAACTATTTTCTACTTAATTTCTTTGTTGAGTTGCATTCAAGTAGGTAATTCTTTGCAAGGGGATTCATACCAATACTTCTTTTCACTAAACTAGGTAGGAGTCTATCACCAAAATTAGTATTTTCTAGTAATGACTATTATAAAATAAAAGTTAAATTGTTGTGAGATGTTGACTGATACATACACATAAATGACCAGAATTAGGGGCCACATGAGTGAGGTTTTCCCTCATATAGTACCACCTTTTCCATAAGGAACAGTTTAGTTATTTACTTAAGATTATACAGCTAGAAGTAGAAATACTATTGTACTGGGGCTTATTCTTGAATTTGTTTGTAGAGCTTGGAATTAAATAGACAACTCTGCTTTATTAGGGGGAGAATCCTTTTTGTGTTAAACTCTCAGAAGGAGGCATTCCACAGGAGCTTACTCCCCTTTCTTATCTGTCACCTGCAAACAATGCTGGAGAGTTCTTGGAAAATATTTGTTAGTATGTTTCATCCATGTCTCTCTCTATATTAGATCTCAAGTCTCTCCCATCCCTATTAGACATTTAAAGCCAAACCAAACCTGAAAACAATCAAACAAAAAACCAAAAATAATCCAAATAAACAGAAAACTGGTCTGGGGAGATTATAAAGTCTCCTTTTAACCGCCCAGGAAATGCTAGAATAGCCAGAGCCTTGGGTATTTCAGAAATCTCACTTGTTAGACACATATCCCAGGGTAGTCAGCAGGGCCTTCACACACTTAAGCTTTGAAGCTTAATCAAATTTCACACACAGGCAGAAAGCCCATCTACTGTCCACATGTACACTTGTTCCTCCCCTCTGTTCCAATCTTTATCCCTATATAATCCACACTTGGTTTGATAGCTAGTACAATTTCTAGCTTGAGTGTGGGAAGATAAATAAAAACAAACCTATCCTAGGTAGGAAATGGTCAGGGAGCACAATGTTCTAAAGATTCTAAATAAGGGGCATTTTGCTATATAAAGTGATTAACATCTTAGAGATGCTAGATAAACAGATGCATCAATTAGAAAATGTCCATTTCTATAAGTGCTAAAAAGAATTTGACCCATGTCTGTCAGAGAACATAAATATACAATTACTTTTTCCAACCCAAGTTTCCTGTCTACCTTAGCTGGACCCTTTAAGATAACGTTAAATCACTATGGTTCATTAATGTGGAATTGGTTGCGATTTCCGATCCTACGGCTGCAGGTACTTAACCAAACTATTAAGCTATCTATATTGACGGTTTATTTAAAAGCTTCTGAGTATAAGGGTTCTTGCATCAAATGAGGACTCAGAGGGGGGCAGAAAAAAAGGTACTTGTCAGTTTGAAAGTCACAGATTGTTTATCATTCTATATGTAATTGGATTAGGAGAAAAATGAAGAACCCACTGGTAGCAGGAATTAAGTAAGAATCTTCTAGGATCTGCCATCTGCAAAGAAAAGGGGGGGAGAAAGTTCTTAGTTTTTTTCAATGACAAAAGCACCAACTACATTTGACAATGGGCCACACAACTACAACACAATTTTTTTTGGTCTGTTGGAGGGGTCTGGTGTTGGTTTTTTTTTTTTTTTTTTAAACATAAGAGTCTCACTTTATCGCCTTCAGTAGGGCGCCATGGCGTCACAGCTCACAGCAACCTCCAACTCCTGGGCTTAAGCGATTCTCTTGCCTCAGCCTCCCGAGTAACTGGGACGAAAGGTGTCTGCCACAACACCCAGCTATTCTTTATTGCAGTTTGGCTGGGGTCGGATTCTAACTTGCCATCCTCTGGGCTGGTGTTGTTAATGGCAGAACAGTAGGTACCTCTCGACCCTTAGCTTTTTAGTACCACTGAACACACAGACACTTGTTAATTGAATTAAAAACATTCCATACAGCTGTCAATGTACACTTCTTGTGTCAACAGTTTCAAGAGAGAACATCAGAACTGACTACCCAGGCAATTGACTCATTCAGACAATTCTGAATTAATTCCAATAAATCTATCTTGATCCTTTTTTATGTACTCCATTTACTTATTAATTCTACAATATATTTTTTTTAACTTTTACAAAGCACATCAGTAGACAAAAATTAATGTATTACCTGCTTTTGAGGTACTTGTCTAGTAAAAAGTGGAGTTGTTTATAAAAACATAAATGGGATCAAGCACATTAAATCCTATGCAAAGAAACTCTTAACTTATATACATTAAAAATAATTCATAAGTCATATCTTCCATTTCCTTTTTTTTTCTTTTTTTGAGAAGGGATCTTTTAGTCACCCAGGTCCATAATGCAATGGAGTATCACAGCTCATAGCTCACTGCAACCTCAAATTCCTGGGCATAAGTGATCCTCCTGTTTTAGCCTCCTGAGTAGCTGGGACTACAGGTGTGGTGAGCCATGACACCCAACTAATTCTATTTCTTTTGCATCCTTCCAAAGAAGCTAGAGAATTCTGTAACAGGTATTCAAAAAACAACAAAAACAAAAAGATCTTAATTGTAATTAAGAGAATAAGACAGAGTCTCACTTTGTTGCCCTCAGTAGAGTGTGAAGGTGTCACAGTTCACATCCACTTCCAGCTCTTGGGCTTAGGTAATTTTCTTGCCTCAGCCTTCCAAAGTAGCTGGGACTACAGGTGCCCACCACAGCGCCTGGCTATTTTTTCTGTTGCAATTTGGCCAGGGGTGGGCTTGAACCCACCACCCTTGTTATATGGGGCCAGTGCCCTACTCACTGAGCCACAGGCATCACCCTACTTAAGGATTCTTTTCTTATATAGGATAATTTTCTTTTTCCTAATTCCTTAGTATATAAAAAGTTTAACAGCAAAGAGTTAAGTTCCAAGGGTAGGAAATGTCTGTTCTGGTCTAAGTTACAGAGATAAAAGTTTCTCCTAGGTTTTTACCTTAGAGGAGCCATCCTTATTAGATAGCTATCCATACAGTGTGATCACTAAATGTCTTATGCAGTACATCAGTAGGGAACTTAAAGTTCATGATTTACCCAGTTCTGTTCAATGTAGGCTTTCCTTTCTTTCTTTTTAATTCTTCCCCACCCCAGAGAACACACAGTCTACATTGCCCAGGATGGAATGCAGTGGCTATTCCCAAGTACAATCACAGAGCACTATAACCTTAACTCCTCAGATCAAGTGATCCTTCTGCCTCCGTCTCCCGAACAGATGGGACTAAGAAGCAAGTCATCATGCCAAATGCATGCTTTTCTGATGCACCCAGTGCTATTGTGTCTCTTTTCCTTCTGGGGCCAAATCCCATTTTCTGGTTTCCAAATGTATAAAACAATTTGATGTCTGAACCTTCCAAGGAAAATGGCCTGTAACCTAGATGCAACTGTTAAATATTATTGTCCATAGGTAAGTGATGTTCACTTTTAGCATTTCTTTTTGGCTTATAAGAAGTAGTATCAGTTTTGGTACAAAATGAAGCTTACAAAATGAAGCCTAACTCACTGATTCATCTATTTCACTGTCTAGAGACAGTGAATGGACTGGAAGACAACAGACCAATTATTCATTAATTCAGTAAATATTCACTGAAGGCCTACTATCGGCAAGACAGTTGGGATATAATACCATTCCAGCCTTTATAATATCCCCTTTGCCAAGTACAATGTGGCTGGGCGATCTGAGCTAAGACAACAGTTGAAACATTACATTTGGCTCTGCTATGGGCATATATAGTAGCTTAAAGTAAAGGCTTCATCTGTGAAAAGGGAGAGATTTTGGTTTCCCCATACAGATTTTGTGAGTTTCTGCTAAGTCAAATATTCAGATAAGAGCAACAATATTAAGACTCTTAGAGGCCCAAAACTTTTAAGTGCCCATGAAAAAGAGTATGAATTTTTTGATGAGCCTTAAACTGTATTGCACAGGGAATGAATTGCAGAGCAGTGAAGCACAGCTGTCTGATTAATCTCAGTCCATTAAAAGAGGCGTGATAGATCTAGAATGAAACTTAGATAAAAAAAAGAAAAAGCAATGTGTACTAATGTTAGGGAAAACAACTTGGCATGTTAAAAGAATTCTAATTTAACCAGTAAATGCCTATTCATTAGTGTGTAAAGCCATAACAGAGGCTATATACTTAAAAAACACATGCACACACAAAGCTTTAATTTGGTACCATAATCTGAAAGAAAATTGGACCCAAATTGTTTTATGTCCAGTTAAATCTTGCTACCATCTGAAGAGACAGCTAAATAAAACTGAAATACTTACTTGATGAGATATTCAGTTACTGTGCATTTCCATCTATGAGTAGAAATATTTCAAAATAAATAAATCATGTCAACTGAAATTCACTCCATTCCCTATTCTTACTGAACACAATGACTTATTTCTGGGGTATACTGAATTATAATAGAAAGTAAAATTTAAAATTAGTGATCAGATTCCATTCACGAACATGGGAAAAGAAAACAGTTCTTCACTTATCAAGTCTCTCAGCATATAATTTAGTGGCCTCATTTTTTGGGAAATGCATGTATCTAAAGAGAAATGTTTTAAAGGGAATATTCTAGCCACCTAAAAATTAGCTCAAACAAAAGCAAAGACTGAAGGGAATCTGAATTTGAGGGCCACAATTAGGGCAAGAAGTCTGTATTAAATAAAAATGATAATTATTTTGGGAATTCTCTATGTGGAAATTTCTCTATTACGATAGTATAATATAAATTTAGTACCTATTTACCTAGCATGGCTTCTGATGTCTAGGGAAGACATCTAAGTACCATTCTTTATACTGGTTCTTATGACTTATTACTTTCACTTTCTCCTAGGCCCCTGCAATCCAATTTCAGATCCTAATTCTCTACTGATATTTACCTTGAAAAACATTAGAGATGATTTTCCCCTAGCCAACATTTCTTTTTGTTGTTGAGACAGAGCCTTACTTTGTTGCCCCTGGTAAAGTGCCCTGGCATCATAGCTCACAGCAACCTCCAACTCTTGGGGTAAAGTGATGTTCTTGTCTCAGCCTCCTCAGTAGCTGGGACTATAGGCACCCACCACAACGCCTGGCTATTTTTAGAGATGGGGTCTTGCTCTAGCTCAGGCTGATCTGGAACTTGTGAGCTTAGGCGATCTGCCCACCTTGGCCTCACAAAGTGCTGGATTATAGGGGTGAGCCACTATGCCTGGCTTCCCCTAGCCAAAATTAACAGCCTTTATACTAGTCCCCAGATTTAATCATGGCATTTGCTATCAGTGGTCACCCTGTTTTGAAAATATTCCTTTGGCTTCTCTGGTCTTGCGTTTTCCTGTTCATAATTTCTTCTTCCAAACTAGGGCTAGGAGGGAGATGCCTAAGGCACAAAACTTAAGAAGGCATTCGCCTTCAATGTCCTGCAAGTCTAAGTTCAGACTGAACATGTCTGAATAATTAAGACCAACTGTATTTAGCACAATGAAAAGAGTAAAAGCATTTTGCATCTATTCCACTTACTGTTTTTCCATGGCAGAACATATGGCAAAGATTTGGGAACTCGCATGCCTGAAGCCAGGTTACTCTTACGTTCCATGACTATGTTGCTTGCAGGGCTGCAAAAAGAAAGACGAATTTGGCTATGTCAGCAGATCTGTATTCTTCAGACAGGCACATACAAGATAATCACAATGTGTTTTTTGTAATTTGGAGGAAAACAACCACCTACATTCATGTGAAATGTAAACACATTTCCATCAAAAACATTCTGCAATTAGAATGATTATCATTTCTCCAGAAAGTTCCCATTCTGTACAGACATTAAGATGGGTCTAACTTCTTTCATTTTCCAGAAATTGAGATAAACAGCAATGCCATCTACTGTTCAGCTGTATGACAGGCTCATCAACTCACTCAATAAACATTAAGAATAAAATAAAATACCAACACCATCAAACTAAAAGCAGCAAATTTCAGAATTAAAATTAAAGTTGTAACTAATGGAATTCATCTTTACATTTTTCTATGTTAGTGCACGTAAAAGGTATACACTTAAAATTATTAATGGACTTCAGTAGCTGAGAAATAAAAAAGCTGATGAGTACTCTGTAAAAAAAAAATGAAGGATAGGATCTTATTCCTTCATTTTCTTTCTTTTCTTTTTTTTGAGACAGGGTTTCACTTTGTTGCCCTCGGGAGAGTGCTGTGGTGTCACAGCTCGCAGTAACCTCCAACTCCTGGGCTTAGGCAATTCTCTTGCCTCAGCCTCCCGAGTAGCTGGGACTATAGGCACCTGTCACAACACCTGGCTATTTTTCATTGCAGTTTAGCTGTGGCTGGGTTTGAACCCACCACCCTAGGTATATGGGGCCAGCGCCTTATCCACTGAGCCACAGGCGGCACCCTATTCCTTCATTTTCTAATCCAGAAATATTCTCATTTGGGTTTGAAACTTGATCTTACAAGGTTTGTCTTGGTGTTAATGAGAAATCTTATATATATATTTTTTGGAGATAGAGTCTCACTTTGTCACACTCAGTAGAGTCCCATGGCATCATAGCTCATAGCAACCTCAAAGTTTTGGGCTCAAGCGATCCTCTTGCCTCAGCCTCCCAAGTAGCTGGGACTATAGGCATCCACCACAATGCCCGGCTATTTTTACAGATGGGGTCTTTCTCTTGTTAGGCTGGTCTCCAACTCCTGAGTGCATACAATCCACCTGCCTTGGACTCCCAGAATGCTAGGACTACAGGCATGAGCCACTGCACCCAGCCAGAAAAATCTTATAATTGTTAAAAAATTTTCTTTAGGCTGTGTGTAGTGGCTCATTACCTGTAATCCTAGCACCTTGGAAGGCTGAAGTGGAAGGATCCCTTGAGGCCAGGAGTTTCAAGAGCAGTCTGAGCAAGAGAGAGACCTTGTCTCTATCAAAAGTAGAAAATATTAGCTGGGTGTTGCAGTGCAAGCCTATAGTCCTAACTACTAGGGAGGCTGAGGTAGGAAGATTGCTTGAGCCTAGGGGTTTGAGGTTGCTGGGAGTAAGGTTGACACCAAGCACGCTAGCCTGGGAGACAGAATTTACATTCTGTCCCCGCCCCCCCAAAAATAAATTTTTTTTCTTTATAAAAACATTTTTTTCTTGTTAGAAATCCTATAGCTTTAAATTAGATATAAAATCAGCAGGAATAAATTCATTTTCTTTCCTAATAGGTATTCTGATTTCCTAATCGGAAATAATTTTTTAAAATTTTTTAAAGAGATAAGGTCTTGCTATATGGACCAGGCCGGTCTTAAACTCCTAGGCTATTACAAGTATGAGCCACTGTGCCTGGCTGAAATAAAGAACTTTTTTTTTGTTTGAGACAGAGTCTATGTTGCCCTTGGTAGAGTGCCATGGCATCACAGCTTACAGCAACCTCAAACATTTGGGCTTAAGCAATTCTCTTGCCTCAGCCTCCCAAGTAGCTGGTACTACAGGTGCCCGGCATAATGCCTGGCTTTTTTTTTTTTTGTAGTTGTCATTGTGTTTGGCAGGCCTGGGCTGGGTGTGAACCTACCAGCCCCAGTGTATGGGGCTGGAGCTCTAGCCATTGAGCTATAGGCACTGAGCCTGAAATAAAGAACTTTTTTTTTTGCAGTTTTTGGCCAGGGGCTGGGTTTGAACCCACCACCTCTAAGATATGGGGCCAGCGCCCTACTCTTTTGAGCCACAGGCACCACCAAAATAAAGAACTTTTAAGTCTAGATTTTCCTCAAACATTAGTTACCTAGAGTAAAAATGATCCAAGTGTATACCTAGAGAATTTTTTCAAACCATTAGAATAATGTAAACTTAGCAAAAAACCCAACACAAAAATGTTTGGTGCCACTGTTTCTTTTGGTAGACTAAAAGGCAGTAGTTTTGCATGTTCAGTGATTAGCATAAAGCATGTGATCTTTTTCTGAATCAAGGAATAAATTAAAAAATCCCATCAAAACAATATTCAGACTAAGATACTACCAAGGCACATCATCAAGAAAATAATTCATGCTTTGATGGCTTTTTTTTTTTTGTTAACAGAACACTTTGATATTAGGAAGCAGTGCTGGGAATGAGACCTTTTAATTTACCTGTTGTTGCCACAGTAGTTGGCTGTACCCCAGACAAATGGGGTGCTGGTCTGTTCCCACAAGTCTGCCAAAGGAAGCAAAACATAGTTTATGTTACTACATAATAAGACACAAGTTCATGTCAGATGAATTTGTTAAGATGGGCAATAATACACCTAAGTTTAGAAAAGCAAGTACAAATTGATCAAGTACCGTCCTAAGTGACACAGTAGCAGGAATTTAATTGAAGGATATAAACACAAGCAACATAAATAATAATAAATGTGCCTAGTAACAATCAAACACAGATGGTACAACACAATTTATGGAAAAAAACAGATGTAAAGAAGTGCTTTTTCCAATCAAGAGGGATTGGCTGTTCCACGTGTCTGCACAGCAGTACAAATGTGCTCGTTTTGGGGCCCAATAAAAATAAGAAGGCATTCCAAACAACATGATATGTTCATAAAAAAGGAAAATCTTCCTTCTGTCTTAAGCAAATGACTTGAGATTTAGACACTGTGAAGAAAAAGATGTAAAGGCTTTCATCTTTTCACCTTTATCCCAGTCTTCATCACAAGGAGGACACTTCCATGTGCTCTCAGCCAGGGTCTCTTGTCCAAGGTTCCTGGTTTGGTTGACTATAAGACAACAGAGATTTGACATAAGAAGGGGACATTGCCAAGTTATAATGTTTAAAGGAGTTAGTAGTTTAAAAGCTTGTAGGGTAGCCAAATGGGTCTTTGTTTGTTTCTGAAAAACAGCTAATATAAAAGCTACACAGAGGAAATCTTTTTTTTTTGAGATATAGAGTCTCACTTGGTCACCCTCAGTAAGTGCCACGACATCACAGATCACAGCAACCTCAAATTCTTGGCCTCAAGGGATTCTCTTGCCTCAGCCTCCTGAGTAGCTGGGACTAAAGGCGCCCACCACAATACCTGGCTATTTTTAGAGATGGGGTCTTGCTCTTGCTCAGGCAATCCACCCAAATTGGCCTCCCAGAGTACTAGGATTACAGGCATAAGCCTTTGCACCTGGCCCTATACCCAGAGGAATCTTATCTCTTTGTTGACAGAAGACAGAGAAGGAGAAACAAAGATATTTACAGTATTTATAGCAATAGGAGGATTTTTATTTTTAGGTGACTCATCAGTAAAATCAATCAGGCTGTTCAGAAGAGAAAGCAGTCTGACACATAATCTGATAATCTATTGCTGCTATAAATTAAAAATCTTAAAGGTGGCCTGTAATCTTTGCACTCTGTGAGGCTGAGGTGGGTGGATCGCCTGAGCTCAGGAGTTCAAGACCAGGCCTGAGTAACAATGAAATGGCTCTCTCCTGGGTACTATGGCAGGTGCCTGTAGTCCTAGCTACTTGAGAGGCTGAAGCAAGAGAATCACTTGAGCCTAAGAGTTTGAGGTTGTTATGAACTATCATGCCATGCACTCCACCAATGGCAACAAATTGAGGCTGTCTCAAAAAAAAAAAAAAAAAAATCTCAAAGGTGGCAAAGGGTTCTGAAAAGATCAGAGTCAAAAATCCAGCTAACAGTGTAGCATAATACAAATATGAAGGGGCTAACCTCTAGTACTGAAGCATTTTAGCTAGTCATTCTTACCAACATCTTGCTCAATACAACTTTTGTCATCACAGCTTGAGATATGATGACTGATTTCGGCCCGAGGAACCTGGTGGCGAGCATTGAAGGGACAAGTAGCCAATTTGTTTGCAACATCAGGATGATTCTGTGGAAACAAAATTAAAGGATATGTCAGTTATTTGGAGCTTTTAATGCTCAAGAATGGCTCAACCTTATTCTATAAATGGCTACTCTAAAATTCCTGAATAGGGCAGTGTCTGTGGCCTATAGGGCCTATAGGGCCTATAGGCTACTCTAAAATTCCTGAATAGGGCAGTGTCAGTGGGTAGGGTGCTGGCCCCATATACCGAGGGTGGTGGGTTCAAACCCAGCCCTGGCCAAACTGTGACCAAAAAAAAAAAAAAAAATTCCTCAATAAACTTCTGGCTTAAGTATAATAGGTAAACTCAAAGCACAAAAGAAAATTGAGAGGAAATTATTTATTGCTTATACAGACCATATTTTAAAATTATCAAAATGAAAATGTTTACTTTGATTGTAGATATTGGGGTTTAAGTGGCTTATGTAGAGCTAGCTAAACAGTGAATTTAGCATTGAGCATGTGAATCTTTTCTACCCTATTTATTTCTCAGGGTCACAAGATTCAGGTGGCACAGCTTTTAATGACTGAGCTCTCTGGAAGTCTTTGAAAGCTAACATTCAGGATGAATAGTAACACTGAAACACTCAGTCTGCACTGCAGTGGTGCTCTCCCGTCAACTATTGCAGTATGACAGTGCTGGAAAACAGCTGTTGTAAGACAGTTGCAGGAGCGGCAAACCAATGACTTTTCAGATTAACACAGTGACGCTTATTTAAAGTACTGATGCCTGGCTCGGCACCTATAGCTCAACCGGCTAAGGCGCCAGCCACATACACCTAAGGTGGCGGGTTCGGATCCCCAGCC